GAGAAGGGGAGACTGATCAAGGGGTACCCGGGTGCACAGCGTGCCATCGGTCAAGGTATGAGTGATCCATCGAGCCAGTACTTTTTGGTAGTCAAGGGCTTACAGGCGGTGGACGACTGTCAGTTAGGTACATCCGAGTCTTGTCGCAAGACTGCGGGTGGTAGCCTCTGGATCCCCCTTGTCTGCTTCGAGAATGGTGGAGTCTTATACTTCTTGGGGCCGTCCCAACCAAGGTTTGTCTTCGAGGATCGAGTCTCTTTTCGCGAAGCGAGCGAACTAAAAGTGAACGATCCTGACGGTAGTGGTGTCCTCCCTCAATGCACTGTTGATGTTACGGACAGCTGCCGTGGCTCCAGTGCCGCGGGGCCACTGATAGAAGATGATGACCCGAAGATACTCCTGTGAAACTGACATCGTAATTAAACCCAGGGAAGAGCAGGCGCCCTCACACGCCTCTTGCAGGAAAGCTCCCAGAGTGTCCTACAAGCATAGCATGTTACGTCATGTACGAGCATCGAGAATCAAAAACTGTAAGCTTTTAAAAAACACTGACAGGACTTTCCTTCCAACCCATAATTTCCAGTCCTCTTCACAATTTGTGATCACGGCTCTTTTGTATGCTTGTATTCTGGTGTTAAAGGAAGAAGCTAAATGTCCCGGCAAGTTAGGACAATTTAGTGAAGCTTTGTTGACAGGGACAAACATGAATATACAGTGCTTCAATATAAACAAGAAGGTCTCATACATTTCCTCTACATCAGAACAAGACTGGAAGGTACCAACCCAGTCAACACTACTGAGATCTACTGATTGATAAACTGAAAGTCAGCCTTACTGAGTTCTGTTTCGGTATAGACTCCTTACGCTCAAAGTAACGTAAAAGATAGAAACAGATTGAAGCATGGTCACTATTGCCCACTGGCGTGGCAATTACTTGAAGGTTCAGAGGGCACTATTCAGCTATTACTACCCCAAATTTCCGAAAACCGATCGTCTTTTTTCTACGGGGGCAGATTTGGCTGAAAGTTGGGTTCTGGAGGTGATTCGACCTGAACACGAATATCACATCCACTTGGCCTGAAATCGCCTGGCGCCCGCGCCACAGCCGCCGGTCACCAAATCCGCTGAAAACTTGTATACGGAGGTTATTTGACATCTTGATTACAAATATCACATTCATTTTTGGCGCTGGCGCTGATGGAAGACGCTGCGATCATCTGCGCTCTGCTAAGGCTGAGCCTGACCTGAAGGAAATCACTCTTTCTCCAGGCCCAGCCTTCAGAAAAGCGCTAAATGGTGCTGGTGCGAAAAATAAATGTCATATTCGTGATCAGGGCATCAAACCCCATTATGCAGGCAGGTTTTTACAGATTTTAATAAGAAAGTGTATGGCGCCAAAACAGCGCCTTACGGCGCCAAATGGCGTCATTGCTGAAAACTAACTCGGTTTTCGTGATCAGGGCATCAAAAAGTCTACTATGCAAATTTACACCGAATTTGGTGTGAGAAAGGTGGCGGCGCCAAACTGGCGCCAATTCGGCGCCAGCGCCCAAAACGAGTGCTATATTCGTGATCAGGACACCGAATTACCTCTGTGCAAAGTTTCAGAAATAAAATTTTTTTGATTGTGTCGATCGGATTTTCCGCAATTTGGGGTAGTAATAGTTGAATAGTGCCCTCTGAACCTTCAAGTAATTGCCACGCCAGTGGGCAATAGTGACCATGCTTCAATCTGTTTCTATCTTTTACGTTACTTTGAGCGTAAGGAGTCTATACCGAAACAGAACTCAGTAAGGCTGACTTTCAGTTAATCAATCAGTAGATCTCAGTAGTGTTGACTGGGTTGGTACCTTCCAGTCTTGTTCTGATGTAGAGGAAATGTATGAGACCTTCTTGTTTATATTGAAGCACTGTATATTCATGTTTGTCCCTGTCAACAGAGCTTCACTAAATTGTCCTAACTTGCCGGGACATTTAGCTTCAGAGCTATGATGCAGGGTATAAGAGGTGAACCGGCTTTTTCAGGTGGAAAGGTGAGAATGTATCAACGACAGAAGTAGAGGGCATTCTTCAACCACTAATGAGTGTGATCGATGCGACTGTATACGGTGTTGAAGTTGGGAAAAATGAAGGGCGAGCTGGAATGGCTGCAGTGGTTCTCGGCGATGGCGTGAATGTTGAAGTGAGAACCGCTAGATACACACATCATGTAACTACCAAAAATTATGTCTTTTTTAGGAATTCATGAAAGAGATTGCCAAGAAATTAAGAGATAACCTTGCCAGTTACGCGATTCCCGTGTTTATAAGACTTTGCAAGGAAGTTGATCGAACGGGTACGTATTTCACATTATTAACACTTTTCAAGTTCCATTTCCTTTTTTCATGGCTTATCCATGCAGTCCTGTTCGCTGGGGGTACTGCGCCGTGTCAGGGGGCTGGGTTTGGCATGGCACTCTCCTGTTTTCAACCGATCATATGGGGTTTTTCACCGCCTTTCATAACTGGTAGGGAATGGGTTGGCAAACCCAGCCCTCCGTACACGTCCCATCATCCTCAGCGAACAAGACTGTATGTAGCTGCCAAGGACGGCTAAAAGCCCCTCGTGATTCCCATCAAGAAAGTTTTTCATACAGACTGGGAGTGTTTTTTAACCGTTTCCAAGCTTAGAACCCTAGTGCTCTAAGGAATTTTTAGTTCTCCACTTTTGCAAATGCCACTTGAAGGCACGGTCCGCAATCAAGTGTTACGGGTAGTAGATGCTCAATCATGAAGCATTAGCCCATAATTAATACCACAGTAGAGAAATAAGGAAAAAAAGCCTCAGAAACGCTCTGACCCCCCCCCCGCGGTAGGGGCCGGCGTTTTCGACGATTTTGCCGGACATCGGCAAGCCCGATCAGCAGGATTCAACGTGCAACCATTCCCGGCAAGAGCACAGAAATCACCCTACGACGCTCCAGGCAACGCTATGTACACACGCAATTCCGCTTGTAAGCCGTTGTCTTGCAGAGTGAAAGTAATCGTGGTTGCAGTGGTTGCAAAATCACGCGTCTCTAGCTTCTTTATCTCGCCGTTTCAGTGACGAAGTGCTACAGTCGCTGCGAGATCAGGCAACGATGTAAAATGCACGGAAACATTT